TAGAACTCCAAAAACTTTATATAATCATAATTTTGTAATACAATTTTATACAGGTTGGTTAAAAAGTAAGGTCAATTTTGTTACTTAGCTATACCAAGTGTTCACTAATTTAGGTCAAAAATTATTTAAAAAATATAGTATACTAACTTTTGACGTTTTTGGAGACCTTCTATTAATCATAGAAGGCCATGTAAATGACATATGGCAAGGTTTTTCCTTCAAAATAAATACTTTTTGAGTAATAAAAACTGTATTTTTTTTTCAAATCGTTCTATTTTTAATTAAATACCAACATTATATTAATTTAAAAAATAATTTTTTCAATTTTCGTTCATAATGACTTCATTATAACACTGCTTTTGGTGATGTAATGAGATACTTTATCCCACCAAAAAATTTGATTTTTTAGGATCAAGCATCATATTTTGCGTATTGGTTATAATATTTTTATGATTTTTCTAGTACGTACGAGACTTCTCTGGCAATAAATTTTGTTTGACATCAAAGAAAATCCTTTTTTTCTTTTTTAACATTAACAGCCGCTTATTGTAAATAAGTAAATTAAGGACGGCATGGCGAATCGATTTTGACATTAACTGTCAAACCAATGACTGTGATACCAACTATCTAAAGTAAAATTCGACCAAATTAAATTTAAGGTATTAAATTAATTTTTTTATAGAAATTTTGCAAAATAGATAAAATATATACTATTATGAACATTTTCATTTTAAAGAAAAAATTTATATCAAAAATCTTTTTTTCCAATGGGATCAAGAAATAAGGTCAAACATGGATTTATCTGGTTATGTAAGATTCTAAATAGTCTTCCTACTTAATAAACATAAACAATGTGTTTTATATCCGCTTCACAGGGGTATTGACTTGTACATATGCGACTTGAACAGTTATAGTTATGGGCACTTTACAAATACATTATTTTGAAGGAAATTTTAAATGTTAAATGTGTGAAAATGTTACCAAAACATTTATTAAGGTATGTTAGTCGGCTTGGTGGTTTTCGAAAAAGGTGAATGACATTTACATATTGATTAAGAAATATGACTCACCACATAAAACAAATAATCGATTTAACATTTTTTAAGATCAAGGTGTTTTTTGGGTTGATATCAGCCTGCTGCAAATTGTTACCTGGCTGCGGAAGACCACTTAAATGCATTTTGAAAGAACAAAACAGGACACGAGCCTTATATTTTTATAACAAGAAAACACAAAAGTTCTTCCTGGTTGCGGCATGGTGCACGCCACGTGTGGGTACACAAAATAAGCAGCAATTTCTGCATTCAATTTTTTAAGGCCCGGAAATCAATAAGAATTAACCACCATCTTACGTTACCTATCGACATGTGTTCAAAATGAGACGATACCAAAAATTATATACAATTGAAGCGATTTTCTGGCGTTCTTCGTGACGACAGCCTGGCCCTGAAAAGATTTATAATGGTATGAATTATGAACCCTCAGCTTCGACAGATGGTTGTACCATTTATATTTGTATATATTTATTTTGCAGAATACTTTCATATCTATTAATAATTTCATGCTATGTTCTTTTCATGGTGCTTTAGTAATAAAACCATCATAACTATAATGTAATCCTCATAAACAATTCTTATAAGCACAAAAATCAAAAGTATTATTTTTATGCTACATGGTCTCTTAGCATCGCTTCCAACAAAACAAACTTACAATTAGATATAGCCAAACGTATAAAACTAAAAGTAATTAGTTTTTTATTTCACTTCTTCAAAATCGTACGTGACGTAAATAACAAACGAAATAGACAAAGAACGACCAATCAAAATTCTTCGCCCAAAAATCGAGTTCATCATTGCGGATCAAGGTGACTTGATTCGCGTGGTTGACCACCATATAGTTCTTCAGTGTTTGTCGGGTAATTGACTGGTCATGGCCTCGGCAAGAGATTTTAATACGTAGTTTGTTTGCCCGAATTCATGGTTTGAAAGAGCGAATTCTGATAATTTGTGGTGTGTTTTTTGACCCTGCATATGTATCTGACCATGCAGCATCATTCATTGCTCTCTTTAATAGTTAGGGAAGGCACCTTAGGCCATATATTATCCACCTAACCTCGAGTACCATTAGGATTCAATGGCATGTCATTCTTTGTTAAAATTAAATTTTTAATACCATTTGGTATCTTGTTGTCTTATCTAATAATTTTGGTTCCATTACTGAAATGTTTTTTCCAATATAAGCAAACTTCTTATTGTGTTTGGAGGAAGAATTGTTGTTCTAAAAACTGATGATCTTCTTCTTACTTTTCTCGTTATTTCGCATTTCTGTATTAGTCGGGTAAGTGACTTGCTTTGACCTCGGAAAGGTACGGAATTTCACGAGCGTCTTCGCGATGGCGAAGTCATTCGCGTTTGCTGGGTCAGTGGCCCGAAGAAACCTCTCAAAAAACCAGTAAGGAGGAATCAGCTTTTATTTTTATTTCATCAACAAGAGGGGGCGACCTATTACGTAAAAGATTTATTTGTTTATATAAATTTACATATTTATTATGATTTATTAAAAAGGGTTACCATGTTACCTACTGGACCACCTAATTGCACTTTGTCTGATACGAAGTACCAGATTATTGGAAAAATATAAATAAAGCATGACATACCTTTTATAAACTATTTTGCAAAATATCACGATTTGAAGCCCAATATCAGTCCAATAACCTTAAATAACCCACGAGACCGTATTTTTATCTTCGGACGTGTGAAAAAGCAAGTTTGCCATGGAAACAAGGTTTTCTCGCACAAATCAAGATGAAAACGAAAACATTACTTAGTAGTTATTTTTTTCCTGCCCGTAAGGTCAGAAATATGTTTTGGTACTTTAAAATTTCCATCACTCCTTATTTAGAAGTACAGATGCTAATCTTGTTGACTTGTTAAGTCAAGGTTAGTATTATATAATCTAAAATTTGGACCTGGTCGTGTGTACATCAGTATCTCCATAAAAATATCAATATTTACAATATAAAGGAATAAAACGTTTTTCTTTTGTGTTCTCGGAAAAAATTATAACCCCAATAAAATCATAATAAGTCAGTTAAAAAAATATGCTCCAATAATCCTAAATTATCGGACATTGTAAAAATGAGCGTAGGGTCTTTGACAAGCGGCACGTTCTAGGAACAGTTCCCAATAAAATTTTAGACTTTCACTGTTATAAATATACTTTATGGTATCATTTAAACTAGCCCCAAATGTTCTACAATTGCAGAAGGGTGAAATTTTGCATAAATAGATTGTAATAAGTGAAAGGGTAGACGTTTCGTAATAAATTGCAACAGGACTACAATGAAATTGCGACAAAGGGTGTCATGCAAATTTCCAGAAAGTAATATTTCACTGACTTTTAAGTCAATTACCCATTCAAGATGTGGAATTATTTGGAATTTTGTCTCTGCAAAATTTATCTTAGGAATAATCCGTTAATGCCTACACTAAAAGGTTTCTATTGGGTTTTATATATTTTAGCATAGTATATGTCTGACGTCCGCCCATCAAAAATTATCTCCTTACATAATAATATATTCAATAAGGACGGTAGGGGAGGTTCAACAGCCTACTGAGGACAGAGCGTATTTGAATTATGATCTTTTTTTGGCGAATCATCCTTGAAATTCAAGGTTTTACATGTTAACAACCTTACGAATTTGAGTGTCAACGTACTACACGTTACCAAGCGTAATGGCCACAAGTGGCTTCTCAGTTTTCGTATGTAGGAAGTGTTAACGTGGAGGGAATTGATTATGCTTGATTGTTCGCTAGCTGGTAACCTTCATTTGTATGCTAATCGGGTGCTTAGATATATACAGGGTGAAGACATGACCCGATATAAAATGAACGAGTTCAGTATTGCTTTTATGAATAGTTTTAAAAACACCACCACATGGCTGTTGAGTTTTTTGGAAAGAAACACAGTGATGATGATTAGAATGGGTGTACCTACTTGTTACCTTTCGAGCGGAAAAGTGTAAGTGAAAATCGTAGTGGATAGATTGGTTGATATTGGTGGGCCAGAGTCGAAAAATGCAGTGAAAGGAGTCGAGATGTCGAAGGCGCGCGAGAGTGAGCAATCAAAGTCGGCCTTGGCCGTAGAGTTGCTCGCTTGTCTGGGTAATTCAGTCAAGGTTTAGGCCGTTGAACTTGGTGGCTCGGATTGGCTCCCACCACCGCTGAGGCGGAGCCTAAGACGTTTCGGCCAATAAGAAAGCGGCTGCCGAGCTCGCATTGGCCGGTTACGGCATTGTTGTCAGTGACCTCCAACTTCAAAATGCGATGAACTCGGCAAGTTCGCGGCTCTCGATGCTAAAATGCTTCGGAGCCCCCCTCGCTTTGCCCACCGCCCTTCAGGTAGTAATATTTACTATACACCGACGGTCTGAGGACCAGTCGGCTTCGGTACTTTCACTCTCCGCAGTTCTTTGGCAGCACTCGCTAAGTCCACACTCAGTGTCAATGCTATATCAGTATACCACCGCATGTGTATCTAGTGTGCTCTATTATAACAACGATTTAGTTCATTATTAACCAGTGACTATGTTCCTAATGTGTGTGTGCGCTTACATATAAACCAGTGACGATTTTTTGTGTTTTTACAATTTAAAGTGATTCTAAAGGATTTAAAATGATTTTATCGCCTGACAGCAGTATGCATAGCATCCCTCAACTACCAGAATCTACCACCAACAATTATACTCACTCGGATATCAATCAGATATCGTCCAGTCATAGAGAACCAGCTCTCAATTTGGGTACATATTTTATATAAATCATTGACATCATTGAATCTGAAATTTCTTCCATTACATAATTAAATTCTTTTATGCACTTGGACGCGCTACTTTCTCCGCGAGGCGGTTTACGTAACAGTTGCATCGCTAACCGCGGGAGAAAGTTCTGCTTTCTTTGGTTTCAATTTTTTTCTAATGGGATTTTCCTTTTGATTTGCAGAATTCGACGGCACCACCGTCCTGTGCCGCGTTTGCGGCGACAAGGCCTCAGGATTCCACTACGGGGTCCACTCCTGCGAAGGCTGCAAGGTAAGTCACGTTTGTTTCCGCTAAGGACTCGTTGCAAAATAGTCGTCGAACCTTGTAAATGCAGGAAGCAACCTTGTTTGTACCCGGAAATCGTTCAAGGGTGTAAAAAATTGCCCACTCGATTCTTCGTACCTGCTTTGAAGCGCAAAACGGCAGGTTGAAGGTCGGTTAAACGAATGTCAATGTCCGGCGCGCTCGCGATAGCGGGGAGAGGGGACGCTGAGGTTAGTAACTTGCTTAAATAGGCGAATGGCCTTAGTGTCCAATACACACAAAAACGACTATCCTCAGGCACGCTATAAGCCAAATGTGGGATTTAACAATTATTATTGAGGTTACTGAACCTAATTTAGATACATGCTCACTGAACAAATATTGGAAATATTCCCCAACACCAAAAGAAACCACATAGTGCTTAAAGTACTTTTCGCGATGTTGGCATCTTCTGGAATATTTCCAATACTTGTTTACTTGTAACATAACAATATTACTAATTACTTGCTACAAATCAAAAGTCACATAACCCATCATTATAACTTTGGTGGCTGCCATTATGGTAAAAAGTAAGAGTGGTCCTTCCGAACGCAGCCGGCATCTGTTTTAGGCGTTTGTTACCTGAGGCGACTCGATTAACGTGCGAGTGCTACGAACTCCGCTGTGACGGTTCAAGGTCGCGATACCTGACGCCGGCCCTCCCCCACCCGACACCTGTGTTTTTACTTTCCACATCCATCCATTGTACCCTCGGAAACCCTTGCACATGTCCGCCAAAAAAATGCACCCTTTCAGAAAATTAATTTCACCAACCCCGACAGATGGTAGACGTAATATTGGGCCTTTATACCTGCACACATCAATTTACCTGGATTGCGAAAATAAATCCCTTTTTTTCTAAAATATGAAAAGGGGTGCATTTAGAGCGCCACAAAGGGTTGCAACATCCGTGCTAAATTCGAAAAATATCGAATTCCACAAAAAACGAAATCAATACAAAAAAATACGTTCAAAACTTGGCCGAACAGTCGCTAGGCAGCGCTGCGCACAGTTGAACGACCTTAATTGTTTCTCGCGGGAACAAGTCATTTGCGCGCTATGTAACGGTATATCGCGGTTACTAGAAGACTGTGTATTGCACTTGTACACTTGTTTTATATCTATTTTATAACTTTTGTACGGTACCAAGACGAATTCGCAACACGTCCATAATACGTATGTGACATCTATTACAAATAAATTTCTCGTAAATTCTTCAATTACTGAATGAAGCATCTCTTTAACTATTATTTTCGTGATTTATTTTTAAACAAAATTGTTATTTATTAGAAAATTGCATACATCCTAATAATTCCATAATGGATTTAGTAAAACAAACAAATAACATTCTAATTTGTCTAATTAGGAATTCGTTTTCTGAAAGTATTTGGTCGAATTTAAATATTACAAAACGATGAATAAATTCATAAGTTAAAACTAATAATAACTTTCATAATATGTGGAAAGAGAGAAATGTTATCATTTTCCGTTCGACTGATCAGCGTTGAAAACTGGATCGCGTTTAAAAGTAAAGGAAAAAACCTGATGTGTCCCAAATAGTAGACTTGGTGATGTTGATAATAATAATAATAATAATAAGGCATTAGGAGTTTATATTTCGGACGATGAACTGCTGTTTGGCGGGCGCATGCTCAATCGCACCGTTATCGCAGTGATGCAACTCTGCCCTGCTTTTGACTCGCGAACGACAACCCAGATCTGCGTTCGTTGACCTAACTAACTAACTAACAAACTAAAAATGAAACAAGATAAAAATCAAAAGCCCCCGATAAATAGGCGATCATATTCGAAAGAATCGCACCAAGCAGCGATTCGCACTCGACTGGGTTACGCTGCAGTCGTTGCAGGAGGTTCGATGCACTGCAATGACCTTAGTATGTGGGTGCATGCCTTTATTATTGCAACGAATCTATGCTAAAAGTCACTGACCATACCTCAATCAATTATCACCCCCTTCGTTTACTGCTCGCCTTCAGTCACGCCCACTCAAACACCAGTTTAATTATAAGTAAAAATGATGATGATTCTTCTATTTTAGAATCTAGTCTAGCGTTTGTTTTCGATTGTTTTAATTACCATGTTTTGTTTATTTTTGATGTTGTTTGCTTGGAACAATAACATCGTTTAGCAATTGGTTAATGGGACCGAATTTTCGTTTTTTGAGCCTCATTTCTCTTAAGCATTTATTGGCGAATTCATCAATTACTAAAATAAATGTTTTGATGGATTATTTGTAGGTGCATTCTCCAAATTTGCAAATCTTCGACAACTTTAAATATACTTGAAATAAAATAAATGTATAACTCATTTGTACTTTTATCTGTTAAAAGTCTGGCCTTTTGAAATCTCGCGATGTAATGGAAAAATCCTCATATTTTGTAATCCATTTTTTGGAATGTCTTTGTGGTCGATTTATTGGAGCCGAGCAACAACACAAGACAAAGAAACAAGCGCTATCGGTTATTGACACCGTTGGCTCGCGCGCGAACCAATAAGCGGGTTTACCTGCGTGACGTAACAGTGACAGTGTGACGTCAGCGAATATTCGAGAAACCCATATTCCGGCCGAGCAGAATAAGTATACGCAGAGGTAAAAAGTCTTTGACCGGGCACATCTAAGAGTTCTTATTCTGCGACCGTTGTGTTTTGTTGTGTTATCTGGTTGGCGCGCTAGGTTCAACGTACGCCGTTGTTCTGATTCATTTGTTGGGATTTTGCAAAAATTGCCGCTCGACCATAGATAACCCAGATGGAAGTCACCGCTCCACTTTTTCGCTTATGTTGATTATTTCGCAACCTATTTTTTTGGAACTCTTTTGTCGCACACTAACCTCTAATTGGGCTACTGATTGTTTAATTTATTTATGTGCATAAACAACTTATTGAAATAGGTTGTTTTTATCAACAAACACCTTGAAAAAGTAGTACGCTGTATAATCAATTACCAAACGATTAACACCCTTTATTTGAACAAAAACATTTTATTTTTCGAAACCCTGTAAACAAAAACAAATAATATTAGGCAACGTAAATAAATAAATTAATTGGTGCAACTGCCGACGTCGCAATGATATAAATAAAATAATTCGTGGTATTGTTTATAACGAATAAATGCAATGGAACTACTTACGTTTTTTCCCGATGTAATTTATAAATTGCACTAGTTTCCCGCCGGGGTCTATGAACTCGGCGGGGCGTTCGCTTCGACTACCGCGCTCGCAGATCTGCATTTTGACACGAAATTTTGGCACCGGCCCATCAATTAGCGCCCGATAATTCGCGCAAAAAAAAAATCGCGATCAAAACGGGCATTACTCCCGAGTGACGAAACGCGTCGGTCCTTGTCTGATGCCGGTTGCGATCCGCGGGTGCGACAGAGAGCGAAGACTCTCACTTTCACGCTGTGAACTGGCCTCGCGAGCTCACTTCGGCGGGTTAACAACCGGCAACTGGGTCAACTGGTTAACTGTGGCGAAGTCGGAGTCGATAGGTTCAGTCCTCTCTTGAATTTTAAAGTGCTTGGACGTGGTAGCTCCCCGATTCGATTCCATCACAACTATTTGTTTGCTTGTTTGTTGATAACGTGGAATATGTGCGCCTAAAAACATTTTCGGGATTATAAAAGTATTAATGCTAAAATGATGGCTGTGTTAAGTTGCAACGAGTCCTTGGTGTCTCAGGAGTTAAAGAGCCACCCTTGTGTGGACGACAGTAGTTCGGGTTGCGAGAGTGACGATTGTTTACAAAATGAGTGTGGTTCGCAGGGTTTCTTCAGGAGGAGCATCCAGCAGAAGATTCAGTACAGGCCCTGCACGAAGAATCAACAATGTTCCATCCTCAGAATCAACAGGAACCGATGCCAGTACTGCCGGTTGAAAAAATGCATCGCCGTCGGAATGAGCCGAGATGGTAAGTGTCTTTTTATTATGTGGTTGTAGCTGGGTGCATGGGTCACGATGTGCTATTTTCGCCGATATAGGTCGTCCAGGTCTCGGGGTGAATGACCTGACGCGCGGCGCGAAATATATCAGCGCGCAGCTCCGAGAAAGTTCAGCATGGCAAGAGGTCAACGACCTGCCAACAATACTGGGGCATATTAACCCCGAGACAACACGGCGTTTTGGAAAGTATTGCCATTGCAATACCCGTTACTCTGCTTCTTTTCGTTGTATCGCAACAATTGCACAATTACATCTTGTCCTGGCGCTAAACCGTGTTGAGGCCGGCAACTGTTGAACTCCAGATCGTTGTGCTACATTCCGCGGACACTTTTACTCTATTCAACCATCCCACTTTACGCAACATCTAACGTTGAGAAATCCGATACACGGTCACTGTTCTCTTTACCTCCCAACCACCCGTCGTCGCGGTAATTCTTTACTTTTACTCGAAATTTTTGTTTGCGCGGAGAAAGTGCCAATCGCCATTTTCCATCGACTTCCGCGCCATAGAAAGTCCGTTTCGTAATCCAACTTAATTATCTGCCAAAGGAGAAATTTTGCTCGGCAATATTCCGTATCGGTGCTGACGTCTAGCGTCGCAAGCGCGCACGACAAATGGACGCCTGCGTCGTGAACCGATCCTCCGCAGGTTCACGCAGGTCAATAGCCCTTCCACGCCAAAACGCATCCAGAAATGCTCAGAGCCACTGCGACAGCCCAACGTTACGCACACCCAAATAAGTCCTTTAAACAAATATTAGAAGTACTCCTCAACATCTAAACAAAACACAAAGTGCTTAGAGTAAGTGTAACAGTTACACTTCGCTTCTGGAGATGCCAACATCGTAGTACTCTTAGCACTTTTTGTGTTGTTTTGGTGTTTCCAATATTTGTTTAACATTTCACCAAAGTTGTTTATATTATTATTAATGTAAAAGATAGATTTGCTTGATCAATGCTTCATGTTAATTGACTGATTAAAATTATAAACAAATATTGAGAAGACAAACGATGCAAATGGGCGCGAACACGAAAAGCAGTCGGTTGGAGTAGCGAGTGTGTCGGAGCGCCGTAGCGGCGAGAGTAGGAACTGGCGAACGACCTTGCGCCCCCCGATTGGGCGTCCCACCTCGCGGTGGTATCGGGCAAAGGCAGCGTCACCAGCTCTCAAGTTCAAGGGTGTTGGAGGGGAATGGGCGGTGAGTGGGGAGGCTCGCGCTCGCCGCGTCGAGAGGGGAGTCGTGACCGTGGGCGCTGTGCTGTTGTGCTGCCGTTGTTCGCGCCACTACACGTTTACTCAAAGTCGGGAATGCCAGGTCGCGCTCCTAGCACTCGCAGCCCGATAACGGAAAGCCTCGCACATGTGTTGCTGTTAGGTGAAAGTGTTCAAAAAAAGTGTAAAATGGCCGAGGAATTACCGATCCTGAAAGGAATACTCAACGGCGTCGTCAACTATCACAATGCACGTAGGTGTCTTTTATCATCATCATCATCATCAATTCAAATCTTCATATTATTTTTTTGTGTGTGTGACTGCACCCACCCATCGATCCATCCATAATTTGTAATGTCAACCATCGGTATTGTACTTTCATTTCGACACGACTGACCTACAACACTTTCATTACCGACGTGAAAGCAAATTTCTCCGGCATTTTAAGATTATCTCGCCGCGTTGTTCGCTCTGCTATACTTTCTCCACTATTAATAATAATCGCGACATGACAGGGTAACGGGCGCCAGATGTAGAGCAGCTGACACGCGCCGACCTCTTTTCAAATACACCTGGAACATGCACTCACCCTATAAATCAACCAACGTACATGTAAACTAATTGTTGTATTTTTTTGCAGCCGTGAGATTTGGTCGAGTGCCTAAAAGAGAGAAAGCTCGTATTTTGGCTGCCATGCAGCAAAGCTCGAATTCGCGCACCTTGGAGAAAGCAGTGGCCGCAGAGCTCGAAGATGAACAAAGGCTGCTGGCCACAGTGGTCAGGGCCCACATCGACACCTGCGACTTCACCAGAGACAAAGTCGAGCCCATGCTCCAGCGGGCCAGGGAACAACCCTCGTACACCGCCTGCCCCCCAACTCTGGTAAGTTCAACATCCTCTCCGCATTCATTAGACAAGCAAAAAAGTAGTTCGAAACGCAACGGTCGAACGGAAGGAAATAGGGCCGGAGTGAATTGTCAGACAAACCCCGAACAAAGCGGGCAAACATTGCCAGACCAGTCGACCTTGCATGTAGGGGGACAAGCGGAAACATTCAAGGTTCTGCCGTATATTTTAGTCTCGCTCGTTTCTAATGATTTTCTTATTGGTTTTCTCATCAAGGTTACCGCGAACTTGAATATTTCTAATGATGACACACGTCAAACAAACAATCGCGAGTATTTAATATAATAATTAATAATTAACCTCGAGAATCGCGATTTGTAATGTTTTAAACCTTTACGATCGATCGTTACTGTTTTCGACCTTCACCGGTTTTATTGTGTCCCGTGTAAAGGTCATTTATATTTTCGTCATAAGCAATGAAACTTTAATTCTTATTAGAGTTTTTTATTGTTGCAGGCATGCCCATTAAACCCCAATCCGCAGCCGTTAACCGGGCAGCAAGAATTGCTCCAAGACTTCAGCAAAAGATTCTCGCCGGCCATCAGAGGCGTGGTAGAGTTTGCCAAGCGTATTCCCGGCTTCTCACTCCTTGCCCAGGACGATCAAGTCACCCTCCTGAAAGCCGGAGTGTTCGAAGTGTTACTTGTGCGGCTCGCGTGTATGTTTGACTCTCAGACCGCGGCGATGATCTGTTTGAACGGACAAGTGTTAAAACGTGACTCGATACACAACAGTTCCAACGCCCGTTTCCTCATGGACTCGATGTTCGATTTCGCCGAAAGAATGAACGCGTTGAGATTATCTGACGCCGAGATCGGTTTGTTCTGCTCCGTGGTCGTCATTGCTGCCGACAGGCCCGGCCTCAGGAACACCGAGCTCATCGAAAAAATGCACAACAAATTGAAATCTTCGCTGCAAATCGTCGTAGGCCAAAACCATCCCGGCCAAGCTCAAATCTTGGACGAGCTGATGAAGAAAGTGCCGGATTTGCGTACTTTGAACACGCTGCACTCTGAAAAATTGCTTGCCTTCAAAATGACCGAGCAACAGCAAATGATGCAGCAGCAGCAGCAACAATTGTGGAATTCGCCTTTGGAGGAAGAAAGCAACAGCAAGAGCCCCGCAGCGTCTTCCTGGTCCTCCTCGTCCGACGTCACGATGGACGAGGCCAAAAGCCCGTTGGGTTCGGTATCCAGCACGGAATCGATGAGTTCCTCGGAAATGATGACTTCGATCAACGACTATCACCATCCCCAAAGCCACCATCACCACCATCACATCAGCTCGAACGTTACGAACGCTCCGCTGTTGGCCGCGACTTTGGCCGGCGGCGTATGCCCGCACAGGCACCGAGCCAACTCCGGATCGACGTCGTCCGGCGACGACGAACTCGCCGCCACATCACACTTGATCCACAACGGCTTGACAATAACCCCGGTGTCCAGACCGCATGCTTCGCACAGATTCAGGAAGCTGGACTCGCCCAGCGACTCCGGCATCGAATCGGGCACCGAGAAGGTCGACAAGCCCACGTCGGTCTGCTCGAGCCCGAGATCTTCCGTGGAAGATCACCACATCGTGGAAGATATGCCGGTGTTGAAGAGGGTGTTGCAGGCGCCGCCGCTATACGACACCAACTCCTTGATGGACGAGGCCTACAAGCCGCACAAGAAATTCCGGGCGTTACGCAATAAGGATTCGGCCGAAGCCGAACCGGTGGTGATCATGTCGCCGCAGCCGCAGCAACAAGTGCAATCGCAGTTGCAGATGCAACTGACGTCGGCGCCGCAGTCGTCGCTGTCGAGCACGCACTCGACGCTGGCGAAATCGCTGATGGAGGGTCCGAGGATGACCGCCGAGCAAATGAAGAGGACCGACATAATCCACAACTACATAATGCGCGGGGAGCAGGCGTCGCCGATGGTGACGGCCGCTCCGACCGCCTGCCCCTACAAAACCAACGGATCTCTTCTGCAAAACGCGTGGGCGACGAGCGTGATCACCACCACCGCCCGCCAGTCGCACCTGCAGAGCAGCAGCAGTATGACCCCGCCTCCCCAGCAGCAGCAGCAGCAGCAATATCATCAGCAGCAGCAGCAGGAGTACTCGAGGCTGTATCTGCACCCGCAATCTCCGCACTCGACGTCTCCTGCGCCTCCGCAGTCGCGATCTCCCGCTAGTCCTCACTCGTCGACGCTGCTCTCGATGCCCAAGATGGTCGAGTTGCAGGTCGACATCGCCGATTCGCAACAGCCGCTCAATTTGTCCAAGAAGTCCCCGTCCCCGTCGCCCAGGCCGCTTAAAATCGTCACGTTGGAGGTGTAATTTGACCGGTAAGTTTGTTGCTAAATCGATGGAAGGGAGAAGAGAACCATCTCGTGAGATTAGTACAAATGTGGAGTGCGTGCCGCCGCTAGACACTGACTTAAAGTCCGCAGTGACATTTGGACGTTCGAAGGTGCCACTTTAATCGTATTAAAACTGCTACCGTTGTAAAATACAATACACGTGAGGGACAGACTATGTTTCAACCTTCTTGGCAACGCCAATTCCAAATTCCTGTACTAGAAGGTTGAAAGATAGTTCTCCCCACATATACAATAAACTACTACTACTATGTCTATAATATCTCTGTATGTCGATGTGTGACTTATGTCGTAGTTGTAGTTTCGTTGGTTTGGTGACGGCATTGACGCCGCCAAATTCTCATGTTCTCATGTAAAGTTACTTCCGCCATCGTCGGGCGGCCGCGCGCTCTTGTACATAGCGGACCAACCTCCTTGCGCGGCTCCCCGACACCGACTCTATAGATAAGATTTCAAACAATCACTAATTTAATGGCTACATATGTATGTAAATGAATATTTATGATTACTAAGTATCGATAAACTGGCATCAGCACCAATCCTATTATAGATTTATTATTATTATTATTATTATTATTATATTATTGTTTAATTAATATGTGATAAATTTTGATTTCTAGGACATATTTATGTTTAAGTTTGTGTTACGTATCTCAGTTTGTAAAGAGACTCGTTATTTCATATCCATTTCGTCCCAAGCTCATTATTGTATCACAGCTCATTCATTACCCCCTACCCCCCTACCCCCACCTCCATTACTACTATTTAAGTTAGACGAGCGGATCGGCGAAGAGACGATGAGACTGAGGGGGGACGTAACGGCACCCCATCGTACTACGGCCCCCAGGCCCCCGGGCCTACTCACCGCCCTTGCGCCCCCTACACGATGTCTCTTCGCTCGGCCCCGTTGTTAGGATATGAATGTTTCTGCCCTCAACACACACACACACACATTGTTTTTATCAACCTCTTGAACCCCCAAAATGTATTATAATCATAACTGTACCACTGTTGTTAATAATTTAGCCAACGATGTCGCATATGTCCGTCATATGCGACACTCGTCCTTAAATTTGTGAATGTATTTTTTTCTCTTTGTTTTTTGTAAATTGGGAGCTTGTTGAGGCCGTCAGAATAAACCATGTCTTGGTGATATTTAAACTGTATTTTTACTTATCATTAACCTTTCCCTTGAAAAAAAACTACCAAAGATTGAAAGAAACACAAGTAAGTATTTGAAGTTTTTTAATACAGTTTACCTACTTTAAAAGTTCTATTTTCGAGGTGAGTACCTACAGGTAAGTATATTAGTTTTAGAAGAAATGCAATTAACTTATTTTTTCTACGACCACTATGTAAAAGTCACATTTTGTAATGGCATCGTTGCTTAGAAAATGAATCTTTTCATTGGCAAGGCAAAACACGAATGTAAACTGACATTTCTGTGTGAAAAGTGACAGGTCTGTTTGAAAAGAAATTGACAGCTTCGTTTGACATTCGTTTTAAAATTTGTATTGTATTTGTATATGTATGTCTAAATATCATTTAGAACACATTCAATGGTGTTTGTATAATAAATTCTAATTTTTAGTGCCTTTATTTAAATTGAGAAGGTAAGTTTATTGATTTTAAGGTTATTTAAAAATAATAAAAAAAAATAAAGGGTCGTAGAAAAAACTTTGTGTTTCACTTGTGAGAAAAGCTTTCTTCAAGATAACGGCCTCGTGAGCAACTTAAACACTCGCATGAAAAAGTCGCTTTTCAACGCTTGTAAAACAAATAACTATTATTTGTTTTATTATTGCTACCATAATTTGACATACGCTACCTTACGTCAAATTATGGTAGCAAGCCGCATTTTATGTATAAATAACTACAAATTTACTACTAAGTCAACTTTTAAGTATTTTTTTGCAGTTAACCAAAACTGTTTTATAACGGTATAGATACGAAAAATTACCAAATTTGGGGAATGGTTTATTTCGTTTTTACCTACATAATTACCTTTTTAATCTACTATGAGAATAACGTGATTAAAATATAAATACCACAAATTTACGTAAAAATAACGCTATAATTACTAACTGTTTGCTCTCTTTTTAAATAAAACATTGACATTCGTAATTTCTTTGTTCTTTTAATTTATATTTTACAAAATGGTACTTACAAAGTAATAAAGGCCACCCAAGAGTAAAATTATAAAATATAACATAAAACTTAAAACATATCTTCCTTTTCATAACTTAATGGTTAGATACAAATCTTGCTGAAATAGTAAACAAGCTCTAGTTTTTAACAAATGCGTCTATGTAATTAACATTTTTTTCTCAAACGCGTATGTCGATTTTGACCTCCGTTTTTAAATAAACGCTTGTTTTCCATGTTGTAAAATATGTATGAATATGTGCGCAATTTATTAAGTGGAAAAATATTACAATGCAAAGAAGTTATTTTTGGCAATTTAATGAAAATGTTTTTATCAAATAAATATTTTTTGTTGTTGATTGTATATTTCGCATGTTCATGAAATGTATTTGTAGAGTACTTTAATAAATACACGCGACAAGCCCATGTAATTCAAGGCCAAGGTCACCAATTTATTTACCGCATTATCGTCATATTTAACTTTATTAGGTGATGATAAATTACCGAGAAGCTACTTCGCAATAAATAGCCGAACAATTTGTTTGCGCAAAATTCCAGACGATTAATTTTTTTAACTTTACAATATCAGCCAGGTCAAAATGTTTGTTTATTGATTTCGACTTTTTTAAGGATGATAACACAATTACTTAGGTGCATATCCACTTAAAAATATCAAAGGTACTAAATTTTTCAAGGAAAAATTTATTAGTAATTTCACACGAAAAACAATGTCATATTTTTGCACATGTGCTTAGCAACAAACATTAACTCTCATAGTAGTAAGACCTGAAGATAGTACATGAGATTGTACCGAAACGTCGTCAGACATACATATATATATAAATAAATAGCATTGAAGCTACATAAAATCGTTTAAAAAGTGCATAATCCATACACTTGACCATCATTTGACTTTTATGAATCATTTTCACTTCCTCATTAGTTAATCATTACATAATGGAGCTGCAAATAAGACAAATGACAACATTTATATTTTAATTTGTACAATTCCATCCTTGAACATGACACCATAATGAATTTTATACATTTATTATTTAAATTTATATCTGAACTTTTCTAAATAACAAAATCGTTTTTGCAAGCATAGTTCTAGTGTCGGCAAGGTCACTGTAAACTTTAAATGGAAAAGGGAAATAAAAACAACTATTTTAGACTAGTTTATACACGATCGATATATAATATAAACTTTATAATTTTTTCTACTCCTATACCTTAATTTATTTATTAGACATTTCCTACCTGTACTGTAATGAGATCCATTATGATACACATTGTTGTTTTTCATTACTTACTATAAAGATTTTTTACCAGTAGAAAGCAAGCAGCATTTTAAGTTTAAATAACTACAAATTTACTACAAAGTCAACTTTAAAGTATTTTTTACGGTTAACCAAAATGGTTTTATAACGGTATAGATACGAAAAATTACCAAATTTGAGGAATGGTTTAATTTGTTATTTTACCTACATAATAACCTTTTTGGTCTTCTAAGAAACTAACGTAATAAAAACAATATAAATACCACAAATTTACGTAAAAATAACGCTATAATTACTTACTGTTTGCTCTCTCTTTCTAAAACATTGACATTCGTAATTTCTTTGTTCTTTTAATATATATTTTACAAAATGGTACTTACAAAGTAATAAAGGCCACCCTAGAGTAAAATTAAAAAATATGACTTAAATTGTCAAAAATAATAATATTTTGCATTAAAACTCAAACGCACAATATTTTATTGATAAAAATAGGCACGATACATCTTAAACATTATATTCCCTCTAAATATTTTACGGTTTTAAGAAAAATTATTGCTTGGGTGAAAATTCAACAAAACCTACCAAATTTTATTAAATCTTTTAAAAATCATTTAGTTTTATTTTTCACTTTAAGCTTATTTTTCCTTATTTAGTCAATAAAAATAGTATTTATTACCACTAATAACCCTAAAAAATACCAGGCGAATAGGAATTATTTACGGTTATAAAGTGGTCTTAATATCGTACAATTATGACTTATGAATAACATTTACCATTAAGTAAAAATTCTGACGTTAAAATTACCGTTCAATTTTCCTTTAGGTGAAATACACTTATAAGTAATTTTCTTTCGTCCTTCATAATACTTTTAAAAAAAGTGTTACTTCAAAGTAAATTTGTATAAAAAACTACTATACATATATTTTTATAGGTAGGTATTTATAATTGTTTAGAGATAAACTTAACCTTGTTCGTTGACATTTACTTACTGGTCTTTTATAAAACCTTGAATTTAAAGATGGTAATTTGTTGGATTTATTTATATATTTTCATTATAATATCGAAAAACATTAAGTCGACCTTCAATTTCGATATATCGATAAAAACCATTAAAAGCTGCTTGCAATCGTTTATGCAACGGGTCAAAATAATTTTAAACAAATGATTTTTTAAAAAAGAAATATAAGTTAATTTAAAACCGCGATTTGATACATACTTTGTTAATCTGAATTGACGTCAAAATTCCGAGGTTTAATTTTTAATGTTTACAATTAAAATATTAAAAAATAATTACTAGGAACCAAGTGTGGACTGTATGATGGCCGATACCAGACTTATTTAATAATATACATATTTATATTTATTTGAACTTGAGAATAACCGAAAAAAATTTTGGCACTGGCATGTGAAAATTTCGCGTGGGCCGAATTTCTTATTTAATAATTCAGATGTCTAATAAAAGTTTTGTATAGAAATAACCTTGACGTAAAATGGTTTTCAAAGTCGTCTAGCAAAGGCGAATTAAATATAATAT